CAATACCACATATTCGGAACAGGCTTGAACCTGTTCCGTGGAAGGCAGAAGAAAAATAAGACGAAGTAGAATATAAAAAGCTTCTATCATTTGAAATAGCAAAAGAGTCATAGAGTCCATTCAGATCAAATAACAGCAGACGACAGCTTATTGCTATGGGACTTGATAAAGTTCTTAAATGCGTGTTACTTACAACTTCTTGTGTTGTTCTTTAGTTCAGCGTCTAAGAACCACCGAGTATAGTTGTATAAGACAGAATAAACTCAGACTTTCGTGACGGTCAAGTTTATGACGAAATTTAAATGTTTATTGACTGGTTCCTGGCAGAGGAGTACTGAGGACGGAGCGATGCACTCCAAGTTAAGGGTATAACTGAGGCTTAGAAAGTTTTAAATCTTTATCATCGTCACTCCCACTTACAATTCTTTTCATTAGATTACACCATTACTGTATAAACCTCATGGTTACACATTTAACACTGTGTTTACTTGGGGAATCCAAACGCGGTGAATTCCCAATCAGATGTAAGTAAATCCTGCCTGATGACATCATCAAGCAATCAGATGAGTGTCAGACACCCTGCCCACTGAACTCTCATTGGCTTTAGATAACTCTGAGGTCATTGGTACCATTTGGACAGGTCAAACATTAAAATTTCTTGCAACAGTGCCTGGAAGGTTATGTCGTGTGTACATTTTCTAACATGTTATAAATACAAAGGTATTTATGTTTGAAATAGACAAAGGGGTTGTTTTCGATCTTGACTCAGGCTGCCAGACTTGGTGTTCTGTAACGAAGATAATGTCATCCTGTGTTTCCAGTTTCCAAAAATTTCAAGTTGTGGCAAGTTTCAGTTCATTGTCCTGGAATTCACATTTGCTTCGGCGCTGATAACCTTCTAGCAAAGCGCCATTAAAGTGTGGACTGTTTCCTCCGTTACTTAACACCCCAGCTCGCAGATGACTCCAGCGTTCACCAGTGAGACCAACCTTGTAACTGAGATGTAAAAAATTGTCTGTACTCAACTGATTATCCTCGCTCTGTGTAGGTGTTTCACTGCAAAGTTTTGTTTTTGCTGTTTACTAATATCATAAAGTAAATACAAGTAAAGTGATAACGGATGCAGCAACTATAGCAGTTGATGATTCGTACCAACATTTACGGCAAACGCTGCCATAGAAACTATCTTTGCTTTGGTGAAATTTTTTAAAGTACCAAAGTTTATTCAATGGATTTCACTGAATTACTAAATTACACTAGCGGCATAAAAATTGTAGAGAGACTCATCTGGAATCACCACAGACAGATTAACTAAGTCCAGATGATAACCAGATGTCATTGTATAGATCAAACACAGAACGTAAACTTTATATTTGTCAACTGTTAGGATTACGAATTTGAGCCTAAGTGGAAAGAAGCAGCAGATGACTGGAAAACTTTCTTTGATTAAAAACTTCATAATTTGCACTCTGTCAAATCAAAATATGGAGGATGAGCCGAACAAGGCATGTAGCACGCATGCATATATGCAGTTTATTTAGAAATTAATACATAAAGTAATTATTCTAAAAACACATAACATGTTAAGAATGCACTGAACCTTAAACACATAAAAATAACAAGAAATTCGTTTTGTAAAAATATATAACGGCTACATAACGCATGTTCGAGTGGGAAAATGTCGCAGAACAGTCAGGAAGTAGAGTAGAAAAACACGAGGCTAACGTTACATCATCAGGCCAGGACAGGGTGTTTTGGTTTTGTTATAAATATAAACCAAAGGGTTCGGTCACTCTTATATTTCTGAGAACATAAAATTATTTTTTATCTTCCACAATAAAATTTTCTTATTCTGTCCATAATAATTCGGTACTTACCCATCACAATATCAAGAATCAAATTTCGCGTCATCTATCTGGTATTTGTATTATTATCATCATCATTAGCATTAATATTTGTATTTCATTATCATTACCATTACCATTATTATCATATAATTGAACTGAGCATGGACCTCTGAAACGTCGGTAAAGTTTTACCAGACTACAAGGGACTAAACTCCAGAAGACAGCCACCTTCATACACGCCGTCATGAGAACCTGAAGTTACTGAAATGGCTAGTAATTACGTTACATTATGACGGAGTTGGTGTTGTCTGATTTCTTAATATTGGGCACTTGCTATCTTGTACGTGCTAATGTAACAACACAGAACGCGAATGAATACAACAGAAACCCATAACCTGTACATTTAAATGGGTTATAAATCGGTGAATTGAATAGTCAGTGACTTGCATAGACAAATATTTGCTGAGTTCTGCTGATACCAATAAAGCCAACGCAGAGATAGTACATGAAGAAACAGACACAGACGAGACCATTTTGTCAGCTTCCTTACATCCATGTCAGAGCAAATCATCTGACTTGTATTCCAGAAGTATTTATTTTGTCTTTCCGCTATGGTATCAGCAAAACATCCAGCGGTTCTGGTTTCCTCAGCCCTTCCGACTGAAAGCACATGACCAGCTTTCGTGCATGGTGGTTTTGAGGTTGTGACACCATGTAATCTTATTACCTTCGTTTCGGAAGGACCTAACGCCCCAACTTTCAAGGTAATTCTTTCTTCAGAGCATTTATTCCGAAAAATACGTATCCTGGTGCACATTTCTTCGAATCTGGTAACAACTGAACAAGACAAAATGGCGTCACAACCCAGAAGACCACCATCCACAACTTCACCGCCGTAGAAACCTCAAACTTTATAACCACTCTTCCACCCTTTCGGTGTTACGCAACCTCTACAATCGGTATATCATCGTTAAATAAAATGCTGAAATAGTGGTATGATCTAAAAATTAACTCGAAAGCAGCACTGTACTAAGTAACGTCCAGTGCGTTTGTATCTTTCCGAAGACTTCTTGCCCTGTTTCTCCATCCGCAAATGAAAGAAACGAAACGAAATAAGCATGGCAGTGCAAGCAGCGCGGGAACTTTTGGAACTTGACAAATTACCTCGGCCCGTCTCCTCACAAACACCGTAGCCTCTTCTTAAATCGTCATCAATCATAGAACCAGGAGATGCAAACACAGCTAATGTATACAGAACTTACGGAGGGATTCCTTCATAGATTTAGCTCGCAAAGAAAATGAAGGCAAAAATAAAACGAAACAAATTGTTTTGAACAAGAAAGAGGGGAAGGTGTAACACAAAGAAATTATTCTAAAATAAAAGTTAAGTCCACCTCAGACAGATTCTCACACATACACTGCAGGACTATTCACACCTGTTCAGATTGTAGGGGAATGCAATGAACACATGTAGGAACATGACTCAGCTTCCACCCGTAATTATGGACGGAGACAGTAGATTTCTGGGCAGAGGGTTTGGTATACGATCCTCGCGTCAATTGCCTTCGTGTTATGTAAGTGTCTAAAAGAAGGGCTGACGGATTTGCTTTTTATTCAGGGCCTAATAACAAAACCAAAAGAGACTTATGGAATTTACATTGACGCCCATTAATACATTTTCTGTTTCAAACTTCGTAACAATAAGTTAATATTTATTTTAAGGTAGGACATGTTATATTTCAAGTGTCCATAAGACATTCTTTCTCTTTCATCGAAGTAATCGTGGTCAGTTGCTAGTTCCATTTAAGAATCTACCACCCCGGGTCATTACCACATTTTACGGTGCTTAAATTAAAGTGAGATATTTACTACGTTTCGCTATGTTAGAACAGCCTAAGTTCGATCGACTGTACAGATGTCATAAATTTTTGGCCCTATACGGCAATCGACACAAAGTCTATAAGAATTCTTTCTCTGTGGAGGAAACTGTCGATTACTGTGCCGTCTGGGTTCTGATTCTTCGGAATCATGGTTGATATTTTGTCAGATCTGTCAGTCTCTCGATTAAGACGCAATCATTCTTCTCTGTTAGTTGTTCCCTGAACAGGAAGTTATCGTCAATTTATAAACTAAGGCTTAAGGCTCATAATTAAGACGTTTAAACGGGGTCTAAAAGGCGTCACGAATCTTAGTCATTAAATTATACACCTTCTATTTTTACTTCAATTACATACATCCTAAACTGTGGTTTACTTCTCATTCAAACTTTCTTTCATCATAGTCAGAGTTACCTGAACTGTTAAATCTTGTTACAGTAGCATGGCTATTATTATGGGCATTATCCGTCGCCTTGATTCTTCTCAAACACGACGTTCTGAAAACCTAATGTTTCCGTCGTCAAATAAGTGAGAAAAAGGCCCATATTCAACCAGGCTCCTTCTAAGGAGCTAGTCTGATCCAGCTCGTTAAAAGGGGTCAACCTAAGTACTAACCTTTCCTCCCTGTTTTATCTGACAACAAAGATCCAGTTCCAAAAAAATTTGTTTGAAAAGAAAACGAATAATTCCCATAACGATAGTTAAGCTTAACTCTTGAACAGAATAAGTTTAACGCTTGATTAATTTATCTTCTATTTTCTTTAATTTATGTTGTTATGCGTATCCTGAGTACTTGAGTTCTCATCCGAAATTTGTTCATTGTGTTTCATGAAGATTATTTTATTGCAGGTTTCCTGAACTGCCATTTGTTTCCTAAATTTCCGTGTTCTAAACTGTAGTTGGCTATATGTGGCCTGAATTTACTTTTATTACACGTTTCATTAACTCTTTTTGTTGTATGTTTTCTCCAATGTCGTATAACGTTTTAAAGCCCGATGCTAAGTTCAATAATCAACTATTTATTTTATATTTATGCGTTTCGTATAAATCTCACCACAAATATGGATTTTTTTTAACAGAGTTAACAAATTGAGCTTTTTAATAACGAAAACTTGAAACTGAAGTTTATTAAGCCTACAAACTTAATGTTAAACCGGTACATTAATCATCTGATTTTAATGTGTAGGTTTATGTGCACTCAGCATAAAATTATTTCGGTGTCAAATCATTATTTAAAGATCTCTTATAACCAATTTTCAGACTTGTTCTCACTCACCCTGCTGGAAGTAGTTTGCCTTCCGCACGTACACGCAAACGAGTGCCATTAACTGGAGCTGCGAGAGACGCTGTCGTGTTGACGGCGGGAGAGGCAGCAGGTCTCTCAGGTTCGCGATCTCCGCGTTGATTAGGTCCCGGCGCAACTTGCTTGCGCCCTTGGTCGACTTGCTCGCGTCGAACCTGCAAGAAACATTGCCCACATTACAGACAACAAGACTCGAAGTGTTCATATTCCTACACACACATCGAGGCCGATCAACGTTTAAAGTACAAAGTAAAACCTCGTACAACGCGGGGGATACGATCCTCGAAACAGTGGCGTTCAGTTAATCCGCGTTGGACAAACTTAGTTTTTCATTTGATTAATGGAGATGCAGGAAATGGCCGTGAAAAATAAAAATAAAATAAAAATATATTGTAATGATATTTATTCATCAATAAACTGTGTAATATGATAAAAGAACAACAGAAATTTAAACTTTAACAATAAGACGTCGACGGAAGGCCAGGCAAATTTCTGCTGCGTCCATTCCATCGCGAGATTTATCTACACACTTTCTCAACTTATGTCATAATCTTACAACTTTTCTTTGCTTCATCGTAACTTTTACATTTACATTCTGTTTCCATAAAAAGTAAAATACGGCAGAAATTAACACTGTAAGAAGAAGAAATCACGGGATCAAAGTTGAGCTGGATATTTACTTTTACACACGCTGAGTAAAACAAACCCAGGTGGTTATACCAATAAATACGCGAAAGATAAACCGTCTTTAGCTTTTTAAACAGCAGTGGAATTTTTCGTATGCTACTACTTCAGTGTGTTTGACAGAATGCGTATAATCAAATTTTCCGTGTTTGGCAAATAATTGTTCACACATATATTCACGCGTATAATGGAATTCGTGTTGGCGTGTTTACTGTAGCTAAGAAAAAAAAAATGCTGTGTGTATGTATGTTGTGGATGATTGTAACGTCACAGAATACGAAATGAACAGGCAGAATTCGATTCCCAGCACGGGTTTTTGGAATTTGTGCCCTCATCACTAAGTCCAGAACGGATCTTCAAACCACAAAGCCCTCCATACAAAGAGTATTGGAGGCTAAATCCCTTAAGGATAAAGGCGGCCGAGGTGTGAACCCATTTTTTCAACTTCACATAACTAAAAGTTGTAGTCTAGTGGTTGACTTCTTTGTCATCCTCAAAATTTAAACTCCATTTCCATTTCAACGAAGCCCCAATTCTTCACCCTAACGTCTTCACAATTACTACAATATCCTTACCAGAAGGACGAGCGGGAATTTTCTGGGAACCTTCTAACTATAGGATGCTCTTCACCCCTTCCATAAATAAAGTGTCACTCAGTTCTTCCTAACAATTTTCTCTTTGCTTCTAGTCTCATTCTACCCTTCTTAACTCCGTCTCTCATTTCGGCTTCAGAGGTTTAAACACGAACAGTGATCTTGGAAGAAAGGCTCACAACATTCAACAGAAGTTGTCCGTGTTCTTAATTAATCAAGTCATGAAGAGATATGTGAAGGCATAGCTCTACTTTAACATTATCATTACATCGAGGAAACTGGTCGGCCAGTTAGACGTTCCGATTTCCTCTCCGCAAATACCCATCCACCGGATAGGATTCACGGTGGGTTACAGAACCACCATGGAAATGGTTCCGATTTCCTCTCCGCAAATACCCACCCACCGGATAGGATTCCCGGTGGGTTACAGAACGACCATGGAAATACTGGCGAACATAAGAATTCCTGCTCTAGCCGGAAATCAGATCCTCATCGTCCAACCCGTGGCCAGTCACCAGTCAGAGTTATTCCAAGAGTCATCACGTATTTCATTGCTTTAGCCTTGATAGTTTGAGAAAAAAATGATCAGGACAGACTAAAAGAATCCGGATTTGAGCCGGATGCATACTAAATGTCAGTAGCTTTACAACGAGTTAAATTGCTTGTTGTAGTGTTTACATTTGAAGAGAGAGAAAGGAGAGACAGGGCCCTTGTTACACTACCAAGTAAATAACATGAAATGCCCTTATCTGTTTGTCCTAAGGGACAGAAACAAGGTTCGGAACACGTCTCGTGTCTTGGAATCATGGCAGTCAAAATTAGCACCGAGGAAAGTAAAACTTTCTTAAACAGAAGAAATGTACTTATACACGCACAACCCAACTTCAAACATTAAAATAAAAGCAAAACAAGAGTACACCAAAACCGTCACAACTTAACAAAAAAATTATCCTGTCGTAAGAACTTCATTTCTCTGTCTCTCATCCATGCTGGCCGTTTAATGAAAAATGTAAGCAGTGTGTGCTGAAGCGAGGTGACTGTTGTACAAATAAATCACGACGGTCTTGTCGGGAGCCACTACTGACTGCCTCTTCTGCTACTACACGTGTGGAAGAAATTACGACAACAGATGAAGGATAATCATTATTTGTCTTGCCCACAACCTCACAACACCACAAAAGAATTTTTGTTTCTCATACAGAATTTTGAAATTAATACGTCTTCATAGAAGATTAACAGCAATAATAATTCTACAGGAGGCCCTAATCAAAAATCTAAATACACAATTAACAGTGAGTTAGTACAGGTCATGTTGATTATGCGTTAACCTTTGTACAAGGCCGCTTTAACTCCTGGAAAAAAGAGCCCCCAGTATCAACGGGGAGGAGGGTTGGACGTGCCCCAAAGAAGTTAGTTATTATTATTTTTATTACTATTACTACTGCTACTTTCAGAGTGAGCAGTTTCTTAAGCTTCCTTGATGTAAATCACATATCTAAATTTCTGGACATTTTTATGAAGAACAATGTCCTTTTTCAGAGTACTTCCTAAATAAGTGGAAGTGTTTACACCGAAAATGTGTTTAGTTTCGTTTTTATATGTTAAATTCGACTAGGTTTCAGACGTATATATTCGATCCAGGTCTTCCGATAAATATTTTGTATGCATTTATCACCTTCACATTCAACATTTGTAATTAAAAATTGTGCAAGAGTGTGGACCTGTATGAAACAATATATGTCACTCATCTCCCATCCATACGCCTCCCAATTTATTACGGTTCCGGTAACCAGGGGAGGTTGCAAGCCCTATCTCCGCATATGTTAATTTTGCTATATTAAGTTAAATTTCTCTAAACAATTGCAAAATACAGCCATGAAATTTAATAAACATGTAGTTACTGTTTATGTAAGATCTGAAGCTTCCACGAGGACTAAGTATAATGAAATATTCTCGGGGTACCAGCCGTGTGAGGACGAGGACTGTTCTCGAAACGTTGGTGGTTTCTCCATTAAACCACATTCTACGACTAATAGTCCGAGAAGTATTCATTACAGCTACGGTTTTCTGTACATACTGATTTTCTTTAATAGTAGTGTACTTGTAAAGAGATTTACCATTCTTTCCTAAAAAGAATATTTTTCAACATTTCCGATAGAAAATATTTAGGCCCACAGGCATAATGACCAACAAGATGTAATCGTGGCATCATTTAAGGGATTTTAGGGATATGTACGTTAAGAACAAGAAACTACCAGTTACAATCACTGCACGGTCGAAGGCGCTTAATGTTTTGGACATTTTAAACACCGGAATTAAGAATTAGAAACCCACTCTGGCTTGGAATTACAAACAAATATCTGTATATTGCGCTTGTCTTGTGCAGGCAGAAACTTTGCGATGGACCGACCTCCTACCAAATGTATAAAATACTCGTTTTTCAGAAGTTAATTCTGAACTGGAACAGGCCAGGGGAAGCAATAAGTAATGAGTAAACTTCGATAAAAGAAAAGAAAAACGCACTGTGATTAGTAGGTAAAGAAAAACAATTCTCGAAGCTTCAACATTAGGCTTCTTGGTGGAACCAGTTGGGTATGCTAATCCTTTTGCTGCCATATGTAGCGTCTCACACATCAACCAAGATGCTGCCTGTTTCATATCGCTCCACGATCACCACGGTGACAATACCCTACAATTACGAGGTATTCCTGCCTCTGAGCAACCAGCATAAAACTTCACTCCATAACAAAAAGACACACTCACTCCCTTTCCATCGTAACGAGCAGATCCCTGAGAACGCTGAAAGAATGGGTGGAGGAATCTTATTACATCCCTAAGGGAATTACTAGGTTGAAAGACTTCAAATTTTAAGCGCATCTAATTCACAGGCAACGGCACGGAACAGAGACGACAGTCTAATAAAATTACAGTTCACCAATTAAAATAACAAAGTTTGTGTTAGTTTTGCGTTGAGTAAGTCAGATGTTAGATACACAGAAATTATTCTTTAAACTTTGATGACAACCGTTCAATCATTACACAGATTATCTTAGACAAAGTCTATAGTCTGAGATATATTTAATATAATCGACGTTTCAGGAGTTGGCTGTCTCCAGTCCTCAGACGACAGAAGTTCTATTGCATTTAACTTTTAGCATCAGTGGCAGCCATAGAGATAGAAGATTACTATAGGCCTACACGTTTAATATTCAAAGATTTCCGAATTCGATACAGACAGTTGCCACTAATATCGATAACAAAACTAATGTAAGACTTTCCATTCACTGACAATCAGTTACCGGAAGAGGTAGTTACAGCCAAGTGCCGAAACGAATCAAAGTCTTATATAATGGACAATGTCCAACATGACTATAATGTTGGCTACTTGTTGAGATGAAGATATATGTCACATTAATCAAGAAACGAGATTCCGCAATTTAAAGAAAGGTTTGGAAGTTGCTATCACGACATTCGCTTGTAACTACTGGGGAAAAACAAGAAAGTCTAGTCGACTCTCAGAGTGAAATTCACTGTCAAGATGAAACATTAAAGCTGATTATACATAATACATGTGTAGCTTTATATCAACAGCTTAATTCGTGTGGTTTGTGGTAATGATGTATGTATGCTGCATGACAAAAATATTAATTCGTGTGGTTTGTGGTAATGATGTATATATATGCTGCATGACAAAAATATTGAAAGTAAAATTTGAGGTAAGAGTCAACCATGATTCCCTTTCACTCATGATAACTGAGAATACGCACAAGAACCTTGTCGAGGTAAAGATTCTGTGTATTCGACTCCACGACAGTCGATTAGCTAACTGAACGCTGAGAGATATTCAGCCTCTCTTTAATTATGTGAGACGGAAAATC